ACCAGCAGGTGGCATGATGGTTAAGGCACTGGACACTCCCACATGGCTGACCACACTTAGTCCTGGATCTGACGGCTTCCTTTCTCACTTTCTCTCTCTCGCTCTGGTCAAATTAAAATAAAATAAATCAATAAATAAAATTGAATTAAAATAATTCTTTTTTAAAAAAAAAAGTCATTTACGTATTTATTTATATAGAATCAAATGAAAGACTTGAAAAGCAACATATTATCGATGAGTCATAAATTTTAATTATTAATCCACTTTTTGGGGGAGGAAACCCCTGATTTTTATTCTTTCCTTTCTTGTACTTATTTTGGTTTCACTTTGTTGTTCTTTAAGAATTATTTAACTTTATTTATTCATTTTTTTTTTAATTTGACCAGAGAGGGACAGAGTAAGAGTGAGAGCAAGAGAGAGAAAGTAAGAAAGCAAGCCACAAGGGGAACCAGCAGTTAGCGTAATGGCTATGTCGCTGGACTCCCATGTAGTCGACCATGGTTCGCGTCCCAGACCCGGTGGCTTTAAACTCATGCCAGGCACATGTGCATGCATGCCCAAGATCCCCAAGAGGAGAATGGAGGAGAAGGGATTGCGGCATGACCATCCCCCCTGGGGGGTGATTTCTCGCTTTCTGTCTCTATGTCTCTCTCTGTCTGTCTGGCGAGCGCACGCGCCCTACAGTGAAAATCTCTCCAAAAAAAGAAAGAAAGAAAGAAAGCCACCAGGTCTGGGACTCAAACTGCGGTCGGCCTTGTGGGAGTCCAGCATCCTTAACCACCACGCCACCTGCCAGCCCCCACTTTGTTCTTTTTGTACCTTTTTAAAGTTGAACCCTAGGTTATTCATTTGAGAACTTTCTTGGTTTTGTTTTTTAATTTTCTTCACTGGGAGGAATAGGTATTCTAACAGGGTCTTCCCTCTGCCATCTTCCCCCCAAGCCCTGCAGCCAGCAAGGATCGCCATCGCACCTGCCCTGTTCAGGGTGGTTCAGGATCCAAACCTGGGCTTCCATGTAGCCCCAACTTCACACAGCAGTGCCCTGTTGTTTGTACCACAGTACTCAGTACTGGATCCTGTTTTTGGTTTTTGTTTGTTTGTTTGTTTGTTTTGCCAGAGGGCACATGTGCTCTTGAGAAAGGAACAGGGAGAGAGAGAAAGGACCTCCCGATGGATTGTAGTCACGCCAGAAGCCCTTCTTCATTTCTCTACCGTCGGGAAATGGGGCACACGTGTACCCATACCCAGTCTGTTTTTCAAGCTGGGATTCAAACGGTGTGGTTGGCCATATGGATTCCAACTCCCTTAACCACCAGGCAGGCCCCATGTTGTTTTGACTTGCATTTTCCTAATGTGTAATGAAGTTCAGCATCTTCTCATGTACTTAGTTGCCTTTTTTACTGACATATATTCAAATTGTTAAGTTTTTGTTGTTGGTTGGTTGAGTTTTTATATTTTGCTTTTTTTTTTTTAACTTTAGAGACACAGGAAGGATGGCCATGTCACAATTCCTTCTTCTCCATCCTCCTCTCAAATTTTGGCACATGCATGCACATACACACATATCTGGCATGATTTTTCTTTCTTCTTCTTTTTTTTTTTTTTTTTTTTGGAGAGAGAAGTTTTGCTATTAGGGCATGTGCTCTCCCCAGAAAAACAGAAAACAAGAAATCACACCCAAGGGAGATGGGCGTTCCACACACAAACCTGACATGAATTTCAAGCTGCCAGGTACAGGTCTTGAACCACAGTTGGCCATGTGGGAGTCCAGTGACGTAACTGTTACACCTTCTGCTGATCCCTGGCATGATTTTTCAAGCTTCTGGGTTCAGGATTCAAACTTTACGGTTGGCCATGTGGGATATAGCATCTTAACCACCACACCACCTGCTGGTCTCCTTTTTTTTTTTTTTTTTCAGTTTTGGATGTTTTCATTTATTTATTTTAAGTATTCACCATAGGACAGGAGAAACAGAAAGAGGGACGTGAGAAATCACCCCCTAGGGATGATGGCCATACACACTTGGCATACCTTTCAAACTACCAGGTCTGAGACATAAACTATGGTTGGCCGTGTGGGAGTCCAGCACATTAACCTCTTCTCCACCTGCTAGTGGCCCCAGTTTCAAATTTTAAAAAAATTTTAAAATTATTTTTATTTAACTTTATTTAGTTAGTTCTTTTAATTTGATCAGAAAGGGACAGGGTGAGAAAGAGAGAGTGTGAGGGAAAGTGAGAAAGAAAACTGCCAGGTCCAGGATTCGAACCACAGTCAGCCATGTGGAGTCCAGTGCCCTTAACCACCATGCCACCTGCCGGCCCCTCAATTTTTTTTTTTAAAGAATTATTTATGGGATGGACCAGCTGATGGCGTAATGGCTACATCACTGGACTCTCATGTAGTCGACTGCAGTTTGAGTCCCGGACCCGATGGCTTAAGTTCACGCCAGGCACTTGTATGTGCATGCCCAAGATCCTGAGAGGAGAATGGAGGAGAAGGGATTGCAGCGTGGCATCCCCCCCTGGAGGCTGATTTCTCGCTTTCTGTCTCTCTGTCTCTGTCTTTCTGGTGAGCACATGCACCCTATAGCAAAAACCTCTCAAACAAACAAAAAAAGAATTATTTATGGGACCAGCAGATGGCATAATGGTTATATTGCTGGACTCCTATGGAGTCGACTGCAGTTCTAGTCTCAGACCCAATAGCTTAAAACTCACACTGGCCGCATGTGTATGTGTGCCCAAAATCCCAGGAAGAGAATGGAGGGAAAAGAACTGCAGCGTGATCATCCCTCCCAGGTGTGATTTCTCGCTTTCTGTCACTCTGTCTTATCTCTCCAGCGAGCGCACACACCCTATAGCAAAAACCACTTAAAAGAAGAAAAAAATAGTATTTACTTCATTTTATTTTTATATTTGTTTATTTATGTATTTATTTTCATTTCTGTAGGGCATGTGTGTTTACCAGAGACAGAGAAAGTGAGAAAGAAAGTAAGCTACCGGGGCCAGCAGTTGGCGTGGTGGTTAAGAGTGCTGGACTCCCACATGACTGACTGCAGTTCAAGTCCTAGAACCTGGCAGCTTGCTTTCTCACTTTCTCTCTCTCTCTCTCACTCTCTAGTCAAATAAATGAAGTTAATTAAAATAATTCTTTAAAAGAAGAAAGTAAGCCACCACACCCAAGATTAAAGCCATGTGGGAGTCCAGCGCCCCAGTCACCACAATGACCCTGAATGTTTTTTGTCAGTTCTGGAATTGCTTTGGTTTTTAAAGGATGTTGTCACTGGCTATAGAATTTGGGGTAGCAGGTTTTTTCTTTCATCATTCTAAAGATACTGTTTTCCTCTGTCCCCCATTGTTTCTGATGAGCAGTTAATGTGGCCATCCCCTCCTGGGGGTGTGCTTTCTCACTCTCTCCCTCTCTGTGTCTCCAGCGAGTGTGTGTGTGCACCATACAGCAAGGAAAAAACCCTTATCTGCTGGGCCAGCCAGTGACTTGTGGTTGAGGCAGGTGGGTGTCACAAAGCCGACTGCGTGGTTTAGTCACAGACCCAGCAGTTTAGAAAGCAGTCTGGACACGGGTGTGTACATTCCCAAAATCACAAAAAGAGAATGGAGAAAGGATGCCCCTGGGGGATGCTTAGCTTTCTCGCTTTCTCTCTGTTGAGTGAGTGCATACACCCTATAGTAAATACATTTTTTAAATCCTTCTCTGCTAATACCCACCTCTGGTCAGCTGGGACTGGCTTCTTTCATTTTCTCATGTACAGCATGTGCATGTACAGTGGGTTGTGTTTTATTCTGAGCTGTGGGGTTTTTTAAGAATTATTTAACTTTATTTTATTTTTAAATTTATTTTAATTTGGCCAGAGCAGGACAGAGAGAAAGTAAAAAGGAAAGCCGCCAGATCTGGGACTTGAACCACGGTCAGCCATGTGGGAGTCCAGTGCCCTTAACCACCACGCCAACTGCTGGCCCCTTTATTCTGAGTTTTATGAATGATAAATTGTAGAAGCTATATTCTGTTTGGTCTCTCCAAAAAGTATTGCTTTCTCATTTTAGACAGTAGTTAAGTTGGTTGAGCTCTTACTATAAACTGACTCACCACGTGTAGCAGCAACTAAGCTCTCAGTACGAGAATTCAGCCTGAGCTGGACCACTTGATAGATGAGGGACCAGCTAGAGTTTCATGCCACATTCATACACAGAACTGGTGCTTTTTAATATCTGAGTTTTCCTTTTGTGGGGACCCAACCACCCCACTACTTCCCAGCTACTGTGATCGTTTCAGACTCCAACTCTGGTTCTTCATATCTAAAATGACTAAATAATTTCTTCCCAGCTTTTAGCCCATCTGGTATATACTGAGATTTATCCTCAGGCTAAAAGCTGTTGTAGGAGAAAGGAGGGGGGGGGGGAAGGCAGGAACCCTGTCATTGCTATTCCATTCTTCTGAGTTTTAGCCCTCTTTTGTATCTGCCTGCCTGTAGCCGCTCTCCAGAACTTTCAAGCCTCTTCATCCGTGGTCCAGGGTTTACAGCTGTGCTCTGTGCGGTGCTAGGTCCAGGAGCTACTCCCCACTGGAAAGCAGAACCTCTTTAGTTGGTTGACTTTTGAAATCTTCACATACTTCTTTTGCACACATCAGTGAAGGGCTGAGTTGTGACTTTCCCTCCAAGACACCTGGAGGAATGTCCCTTCCTGACCCCGGAGGCCTCTGACCTAACAAAATGGTAGGGGACATTTGCCCTGATGAAGCCATTCTGTGCTTTGCCCTTGAGGTCAGCCCACAGTGAGACCTTTCTCTGTCATACTCATTAGATCAGCAGCTAAACCTTGGGGTAGGGAACCAGCAAGGAGGAGTGATGGAACGAGCAGGTTCTGGGCTCCTTCTCCTAGTGCTCTGTGTATCTGCGAGGTCCCCATGGCTGAGACCCACCCCCACCCTTTGCCGGAAGACCTGCCTCATTGTGGGTGTTTTGTTTTTGCTTATTTCCCAGGTTAAACAGAGCCAGTCAGACTTACTTCTTCCCTATCCACTTGACGGATCAGCTTCTTCCCAGTGCTGTGTTCTATGCCACCGTCGGGCCTCTCGTGGTCTACTTCGCTATGCACCGTCTGATCATCAAACCATACCTCAGGGCTCAAAAAGAGAAGTGAGTGAGTTTAAAACATGTTCTGGGGGGTGTCACTAAACAACCCTGGACCTCAGTTTTCTCATCTTTAAAATGAAGACAATAACCTAGCCCCCACGTTATTAGGAAAATTAAATCTGTAGATATAAAGTGCTGAGCCTGGTGTCTGGGCTGTGGTGAATATGTAGTAAATGTTAACTATTTATAAGCAGCAGTAGGACTAACTTTTATCCTGCCAGTCATTATTCCTACTTTCAGAAAGGACTAGAGTTGGTTTATAAAATTGAGACACTAACCTGTGACCACAAGAAATAAAAGGCTTTCCTTTTTTTGCTATAGGGCGCATGCGCTCGCTAGAAAGACAGAGAGAGACAGAGAGACAGAAAGCGAGAAATCACCCCCCAGGGGGGATGGCCACGCCGCAATCCCGTCTCCTCCATTCTCCTCTCGGGATCTTGGGCACGCATGCACACGCGCCCGGCGTGAGTTTAAGCCACCGGGTCCGGGACACGAACCGTGGTCGGCTATGTGGAAGTTCAGTGACACAGCCATTACGCTAACTGCTGGTCCCAAAAGCTTTCCTTTTTCTCAGTCTAATCATTTTGTTTTCCTGGCACTAAGTTGAAGGGAATGGGTTCTGGGTTCTTCTATGAGAAACGTGTTAACTACAGTCTTAGAAGTCATAGAAATGTATTTTGTAGTTTCATATAGAAACTCTACTGGGGCATAACCTTAAATCTAAGTTCTTAGTGAGAGGTGGTTTAGATTTATTCCTTTTACAACAATCTGATGAAATATTAAGCTTAGAGAATTTCGGAGGAAGGAATGAGTCTACTCTCCAAGCCCCTCTGGCCACTGGATTACTGTGGTTCAGCCTCCCAGTTCCCCAGGGGGCTTGAGGCTTAGAACAAAGAATGTTCTAGTCAAGTCTTCTGATGGACTGGTGTGTGCTGACCCCAGACCCCTGTGCTACAGGAAAGTCTATTTGTGGACCTAAAGTAGTACTGGTTTTTCTGCCAGAAATGTTATTTTGCAATTCCAAAAGGCTAGTGAGATCATTTTCCCAAAGAGACCGACAGTGGGTGGGTGTCCTGTATACCTCTGGGGAGGGGAAGAGGGAGAGCCACCTCGGGATAAAATGAAAGCTGCACGGGCCTATGACTAACAGATTTGCTTGAGAGTATCTTAGAAATACTTTTTAAAGTTCTAGAACTAGAAATTCACTTGGATTCACACAGACTGTTTGCTGGGCTCAGGTCCAACAAGGGGCCCTGTTGACTAACGCTGGGTAACACTGCGCTCATGTGTGGCTTGTGTTTTTCTCGCGTAAGGGAATTGGAAAAGCAAAGGGAAAGCACCGCCACCGACATTCTGCAGAAGAAGCAGGAGGCAGAAGCTGCTGTAAGTGCCATGTGAATGCCACCCTGGACAGCCTCCTGAGCCGTGGCATCTCTGAACGTCTTTCCGCTGTCGGGCAGAATGCTGTGAACGCTCCCCAGGTTCCAGCCCACATTTCTTAGGCTAGGACTATATGGGAAAATGCCACACGCCCTACAGATAGCTGTCAGAGTCTTCTTCTCCAACTGCCTTCTCCTCTTGGGTCTTTCTGTTGTCCGTGGCACACATTCCTGGGAACATCAGTCCTTGTCCTAAAGATTATACACAGTTATCCTCCAAGCAGATAACGAAGCTTTTTAAAAAATGGCGGGTGTTCTCTTTTCTTCCCTCTACGTGTACTGCCTTCACAGGACGTGAGAGAACAGACCTCCTAGCTAGACCGCAGGGACACGTGGTTCCTGTGGCCACAGGAACGGCTGAAAGGCTAAAGTACATACGGTGCCCAGCAGATGGTTCCATAGAGCATGTCCTTTCTCAGAGAGGCTGGGAGTGCAGCTTCTTGTGGAAATCTATTTTTACATGCTGGCGGTGTTTTCATTATTTTGTATGGGGTCAGTAAAGCCTTCCCACTCGTGTGATTCCTAGAAAGGGATTGGAGATGCCATCGCTCTCCTGGGCTTGCTCCAGGGTTGAAGGGTTTTTTTGTTGTTGTTGTTTTTAAGAGGTTTTTGCTATAGGGCGCGTGTGCTCTCCAGACAGAGAGAGAGACAGATAGATAGAAAGCGAGAAATCACCCCCCGGGGGGGATGGTCACGCCGCAATCCCTTCTCCTCCATTCTCCTCTCGGGATCTTGGGCACGCACACACATGCGCCCGGCGTGAGTTTAAGCCGCCGGGTCCGGGATGCGAACCACAGTTGACTACATGGGAGTTCAGTGACATAGCCATTATGCTAATTGCTGGTTCCCCAGGGTTGAAGGTTTTAAAGCATGCCTGGTGGGAGCCTGAGCTTGCAGGCTGGCCTGTTCCCTTCCCTTATAGACCCTGAGCAGGTGTATTGGTGTGGACAGGGCTATGTGTCTCTGGCCCTCTGAACAAAGAGATGGACAGGCCAGGGGTGGTGGGGGGGTTGGTGGTGGACATCTTTGTTCTTTGGCAGGTTAGATTGATGCAGGAATCTGTCCGAAGGATCATCGAGGCAGAAGAGTCCAGAATGGGTAAGAAGGCGTGTCCCCTTTGGGGCCTGGCTGGGCACTGGGGGGCTCAAAGCTCACAGGGAAGAGCCATAGGAGGCCTCCCTCCACCCTGACTGAGTCTATCCATCCTCAGGCCTCATCATCGTGAATGCTTGGTACGGGAAGTTTGTCAATGACAAGAGCAAGAAGAGTGAGAAGGTAAAAGTGATTGACGTGACCGTGCCCCTGCAGTGCCTGGTGAAGGACTCAAAGCTCATCCTCACAGAGGCCTCCAAGGTACAGTGACGCCAGCCACCGCCTGCTGTATGCATGCAAGACCCATTCAGAAGGGCCAGTCCATGGCCTGGTGATTAAGGCAGATGGAGCCCACATGACCAATTAGGCGGTTCAAGTCCCAGATCCAGTGGCTTGACAAGCACGTTTGGCCTGTGTATGTGCGTTCCCAAAATGCCACAGGTGGGAGAGATGGAGGAGAAGGGATTGCAGTGTAACCATGCCCCATGGGGTGGGGGGTGCTTTCTCATTTTTCCTCTCTCTCTAACTAGCTCACAAGTCCTTTGGCAAACGTAATAAATAAATAAGACCCAATCAGAAAAGGGCAGCTGGAGGAACAGGTTCAGCCTGATTTCCTGCAGCGGCCCCTTCATTCCACCTGCATTCGCCTCATGGGGTGCTGCCCAGCACTGCGTGACAGCATTATTGCCACTGCTCACTTCACGTTTGCATTCATACCTCTGTCACCTATTCGTTTGACCAATGTCTATTGGTCAACAGAAAACACATGTCTTTGTGGTACTTTTGTTAGATTTACTTTTGCCTTATTCCAGAAAGTCTGAAGCCACTTATTACATGTATGAGTCCCTCCATGGAGTATCTAGAATTACAACGCAGATTAGCTCAGGCCAAGAACTCCTGGCTCCCTGTAGAAACTGTCTGGTGTCTGTCTTGGTAGAGTTTCTGGGGTCCTGTCAATGTGTGCTGAGAGGTGAACCTGGGACCATATAGGCCATTTTTGAAATGACCCTTTGTCTTCACACTCCAAAGTTTGCCTCTCCGGAGGGAATATAGAAGGCCAGTGCAGCTCAGGTGGTGGCAAAGAGAGCAGCAGTACTGGGTTCATTTTGCATATTTTCTTTTTTCAGTAGTTATTTATTTAATTCAAATTGCTATTATTATTTTTTAATTTGACCAGAGAGAAAGAGAAAGTGAGAAAGCAAACCACCAGGTTCAGGACTCGAACCATGGTTGTCCATGTGGGAATCCAGTGCCTTTAACCACCACGCCACCTGATGGCTCGGTAGTGCTGGGTTCTAAGTGACTGGGGAGCAGTCTTTGGAATAACTGTCTGTCACAGGCTGGGCTGCCGGGGTTCTATGACCCATGTGTGGGTGAAGAGAAGAACCTGAAAGTGCTTTATCAGTTCCGAGGCGTCCTGCATCAGGTGATGGTGTTGGACAGTGAGGCCCTGCGGATACCAAAGCAGTGTGAGTAGTGCGCCCCTCGCAGTCACCTGCCCTGGAGAGGGACATCAGTGGCTGCTTAGCGTGTGGAGACACAACCACCTTCCCTCTGTGGTCTGCCGGAGAGCAGGGAGGCTGGCTGGACTTGGAGGCTTGCTCAGAGCCCATGATTTATGCCCTGAGGAGGGGGCTTCAGTCCTTTCATAGGTGGGATTAGTGAGCTTCCCGTAGCCTGGGTGGCTGGGTAGGAAAGCAGTTGGTTCTTGCAGCTTGTGCTCTATCCAGCCATCACAGTTGGATGATGGCTGAGCCCCCTCAACAAAGAAAAGGTATGGTGGGCATGGTAGTGAAGGCTGCCAGATCCACATGGTCAACTGCAATTTAAGTCCTGGATCTGATGGCTTGAAAAACAACACTGAGGGACCAGCAGAGGGCATAATGGTTACATTGCTGGACTCCCATATAGTGGACCACAGTTCAAGTCCCAGACCTAGCGGCTTAAAACTCACGCCAGGCATGTGTGCGTGCATGCCCAAGATCCTGAGAGAATAGAGGAGCAGGAATTACAGCATGGCCATCCCCCCTGGGAGGTCTCTCTGTCTCTCCAGCAAGTGGACACAATCTATAGCAAAAATCTCTCAAAAAAAAAAGAAAAGAAAGACACAATGGTATTGTGTGTGTGTGTGTGTGTGCATGCCCAAGGTCCCAAGAGAAGGGACTGTGGTGTAGTCGTCTCCCTCAGGGGTTGCTTTCTTACTTCCTCTCTTTCTCACAATCTGTCTCTGTCGAGTGCACACATTCTATAGCCAAAAAAAAAAAAAAAAAAGAGGGTGTGGAAATGGTCCCTTCCTGATAACCTGATGCTGTCTTTTCTTTGCAGCTCACAGGATTGATACAGATGGATAAACTCCTTGAGAACCTGATTAAAAAGAGGCTGCAAAAGATCTTTTCCTGGGATTCTACAAATTTGGAAGCAGGGAAAATACTCAGACATCAGATGTTTTTATTATATTATTCCTCTAGAAGGTGGTACCATAACAATTATGTGAAGGGACACACAGATATCCCAGCTTTCCTGGGTGCTGTAGGTGGGATGAAGGCAGCCCCATCCTGGACCAGCCCGCAGCATGGCCCGTGGCTGTCTTGCCAAGGATCATGTTTCCGGAGGGAAGGGCCCAGTGGCCTGGACTCCTCAGGGCCCCAGGCCCTCCAGCATGTATGCTGATGCAGCGGCCACCCAGTAGTTCTCCGTCCTGTCTGGTGGTGTGTATGGAACATCCTGCCCTCACATAGGACTGGGTACTACTTTCCCTAACATCCACACTGAACATGGGAAACAGAGGAAAGGAAGGAGGGAAGGCATTTTCACATGCCACAGCCTCCAGATCAAGGGAGCGTCTGTGCTGTCGGCTTCCCACAAATCACCTTCTGATGAAATATTATAAGTGAATCTGGAGAGGATTGTGGGTTTATAAAACTGCTTTTTATTTGAGAACAAACAGGTTTGGAAATTAGTCTCTTTTTTCTCCCTCCCAGAGCTTCTCAAATCATTCCTCTGGCACCTGGCTGGGGACAGAATGGTGTACTTCCCAAGCCCAGGGCCATCCTTGTCATGGGCCACTTCCCCTATCCTGTGGGAAAAGGCCCTGCTGCCAGCAGATGCAGAATGACCCATGTCCCTCTTGTCCATAGCAGACGGTAGAGCCAGGACTGCCTATGCCCACCACCTCTCCAGTGGGGTGCTGGGAGGAAGAGGAGGCTTGCAAGGGTGAAGGCTGAGATGGGGGGAACAATAAGACCAAGAGTCACGCTCGTGCCAAATCCAAAGGTGTGGGCATCAGGGCTGGCCCTGTTGTCCATGCCTTGCTGGCAAGCACCCAGCAGGTGGCGCCGTGGCTCTCCACACAGAGCCAGGCCCAGCCCCTCCTCACTAGGACTTCTTTCTGGGGTGTGTCTCCATTCTGAGACTTGTCTTCACTTGTTCGCTCTGTGGATAAAGAATGTTGTAGGAGCCAGTTCAGCTCTGAACAGCCTGGGGTGTCAGCTGTGGCAAACAGTAACCTGTGGAGCACAGGCCTGTACATGGGTCTGGCCACTGGCGTGGTCACTTGCTCTCACTGACCCCTCTGAGCAGGGATTGCTCAAGGCGTGATGCCAGCTGGCCCTGGAGCCTGAGGGCCGCTCTTGGCCTCCACATCTCCGGCTGTTGGTGAAATCAGGTTTTGCTACTGGCACCGAAACCAGAATGATTGCTAATAACCTCCTTCCTCCAGTTTTTAAAAGTAATTCTGTAATATTTATCTCCATTTAAGAAAACAGAGAAAGCCTCTCTGCTCCAATGACCGCAGGCCACGCAGGGACCATCATGAGCCTCTGCTTTGGGCATGCCCCTCTGCGCCCTCGGCTGCAGGTGGTTCTTTTGGACACAGATCTTTGTTTGAAGTTGACTGTACTGAGGCACTCTCTTACCATAATAAACCTTTCCTGAAAGCTGAGGACAGTATTTTTTTTTTAGTTTATCCGTGTGTACATCTTTAGGAGTAAGCAAAATAGGGGACATGGTCCCCTTCCCCAGAGCCCTCCTTTCATCCTTTCTTCTTCACTGTTGAAACCATGTTTTAAACCTTGAGGCTCTACTTGCAGCTATGGTCCTTTTCTTTTTTGGAGAGGTTTTTGCTATAGGGCACGTGCGCTCACCAGGAAGAGAGACAGACAGAAAGTGAGAAATCACCCCTCCAGGGGGGATGGCCAGGCTGCAATCCCTTCTCCTCCATTCTCTTCTCAGGATCTTGGGCACACAACACACACATGCCTGGCTTGAGTTTAAGCCACCGGGTCCGGGACTCGAACCACAGTCGACCACATAGGAGTCCAGTGACAGCCATTACACCACCTGCTGATCCCCTGATTCTGTTTTCTACATTTAACATGGGCCCGAGAGAACCCAAGCTTAGGAAGTGAATTAGCCTAGAATTGGACAGAGGGTTTTGTTGTTTTTTTTTTAATTAAAGTTAAAAAAAATTCCTGCAGTCAAAAGTAGTCACATCCTGCCCACTCTTTAATAGGAACAAGAGGTCCAACATAGCAGCAAAACGTGGCAGGAACAGACCAAACGGAGTTAGCACTGCCGTGGTCCCCTCCGCTAGTTGGAGAGGGGTCCTCCCCAAGCAGAGGGCAGGGCAGCCACTCAGCTGGCTGTCCAGGCTGATGGAGGCCCCTTGCCCTGTAACGGAACCAGCCATTGCTCCCCTTATACAGGGTGGTGGGAGTGACCCACAGGCCAAGTATAACCCTGGGCCCAGCTGTCCCTCAGGTGCCCGTGAGAAGGGGGTTATGTATGGCACCAGGACCCAGGCAGCTCCTTGTGCCCCACGTCCAGTGACACCTGCTCACCCTGTGCTACACCGATACCACCTCTGACTGAACCTCTTGGTTCCTGGAGGGGAGGATGACAGTCATGCCCACAGCCCCGTTGGCCTAGCCCCAGGCTCCTCAGCTGCTGTCTTGATCCCCTGCCTGGCATGCTTCACTGTCGCTTTCTCAGCTTCAGCAGCGGAAATAAATGTCTACAGCCAGAGCCCCAAAACCCCTGTAGTCCAGAGCCTGGCAGGCTCAGCTCTGCTGCTCTGGCCGTGGCGTGGCCTGGAGTCCCCGCTGCCCATCTCTGTGGGAACGGAGGCGGCTGGACATCCTCTGCATCACCAGCCTCTGTGCCTTCAAGCGCTTTCGGAGCTTTTCGTTTTCCTTCAGAGTGAGGAAGAGTTTTTTTTTCAGAGCGTCCAAGTCCAAAAGGGCATAGCTGTGGTCAGATGGCTGCTTGGGGAGGGGCCTTCTCAGCTGACGGGTGGCCTCTCTTGCTTCTGGTCGCTGTGTTAAGACCTGAGGACAGAGGAGAGTGGAAGCTACGAACCGCCCAAGTGCTAAAGAGCTGCTTTACCAGGGAGCAGGTGGCTGTGGTCAGGCCTGGGGGGCCCATCACCTGACACGCTCAGAACCAGCCCGTGGCAGCAAGACTCACTGCCTGCAGCTGTCCCAGACTCCATTCCCAGAGCGGCTGGTTAGTGGGCAGCTCGGGGCCAAGGCTTCACGGTTCCCGGGTGGGTGGGCTCTTTGGGGCACCGGCTGCATTTGTAGCCAGCCCAGCGTCTTACCTGGCTTACAGGGCTTTCAGCATTTGGGGGCAGCTGAAGCTCTCCCAGTGCGGTGTCCATGTTCCTCACCGAGCTGTGCTCCCCAGCCCCCAGCTCAGGGAGGACCTGGGAACAGCAGGAAGGAATCAGGCTAGCGGCACCCCACAGACACCTGATCTCCCGCAGCTGTTCCTGTCCATCCCTGAGTAGTTCCCTCACAGGATCTGGATCTGGCCCGGGGGAGTGGCTACAGCTGGGGACCAGCTGTGCGGCCATACGAAGGCGTAACTAACCAGCCTCTTCCTACCTCAGACTCCAGAACTGGAGCCTTAGGAAGTAGGCACCAGCCTGAGGGCCAGCTGGAGTTCTTTGGTACAGGAGAGAAAGAAGGAAGCTTGGGCCAGCAGGTGGCTGGTTGGGTCGCTGGACCCCACAGGGCTGAAATCGGTCTGAGTCCTTGACCTAGAGGCTTGCTTTCTCACTTTCTCTTTCTGTCTCTGGTCAAATTAAAAATACTAATAATAAATAAAATTAAATAATTCTTTTTTTTCTTTTGAGAGGTTTTTGCTATAGGGCGTGTGTGCTCCCCAGAAAGAGAGAGACAGAGAGATAGAAAGCGAGAAATCACCCCCCAGGTGGGATGGCCACACCACAATCCTTTCTCCATTCTCTGCTCGGGATCTTAGGCACGCACGCATACGCACTCGGCGTGAGTTTAAGCCATCGGGTCTGGGACTCGAACCACGTTCGACTACATGGGGATCCAGCGACATAGCCATTATGCCAACTGCTGGTCCAAAATTAATTCTTTTTTAAAAAAGAAGAAGAAAAGGAAGTCTGGCAGGCTTTAGGTTTTCCTTCTCTAGGAAAGCATTGAATCCAAAACTAGATCATGAGGAAGCGGGACCAACCCCAGCGGGCCAGCCGTGCTAGGAAAGGGCCCACACTGCCCCAGCTCACCAGCCAGACTCACCTTTTCTCTCTGGGGGTCGGCATTTCCCCCCTCACTGGCAGGATCGGTGTTCTCCCTCACCAGCTGCAAGAGACCGACATGGAGACAACGCCGATGGCTGCATGGCCTGGCTCACTCAGTGTGAGATCTGCACCTCCGAGCTCCTCAGCTGGATGTGAGCCCGGAGCCATCGTTGTCCCCATGGATCTGTCTGATGAATGACACTAGACAAATGTCTGAGAAATCAAACCGACCTGGAGCCCGGCCCACGTCTACTCTCACCACATACTTGATATTCTTTCTCCAAAGATGTTCCCAGTTGTGGATCAGAGGCCCAAGGAAGGGTCACTGTAGAGCCAGAGAGCTAATTCACACATGCCACCCCAGGGGCCACATCCGACCTCACTACATGTTTGCCTGTGAATGACAGCAGGGAGTAGAAAACACATCTGTTCTGGGCCCCACCCTTGAACCTGCAGTACCTGGGTCTGCCACACGGTGGCACTCCCAGAGCTGGGCCTGCCTGGGCATGGGTCAGAACCAGGTTCTCCCTGACACTGAAGGCACTAAGAATTACAAATGTATGCCCTCCGCCTCCCCTCCCCCCCCACACACACATACACACTCACACCAGTCATTAGGCTGTGATGTGTTATTTCGGGGGCACTTTATCACAAATACATGACAGTGATTAGACTGTCCATGTATTCACAAGCATGGACTGCACACCCTCTGCCAAGCAATGCTCTGGGCATTGAGCGTAAGGTAGTGAGACACAGTCCCCACCCTCCCAGAGCTTGCATGGAGGGCAAAAATGAAGGAGAGACAAGGAATGGCAGGTGCACAGGTGTCGGAAAACCAACGAGCAAGAATAGGGCAGAGAGGGCTGGCAGGGGTGTGGGGCAAGAAGGTGGCCAGGGCAGCCTTCCTGGAGAGACAGGAACATGGGCTTGAAGCAGTGAGATGGCATGTGGCCATCTGGAGGAAGGACACCCAAGTGAAGGACAGACCAAGGGCAGAGGCCAAGGCAGCTCTTCCTCACAATGTGTAACTCCGTTCACTTTCCAATTTCCAGTGGACGCACACCCCCTGGGCCACCATGTGCTGTGACACTTGACCCATGTTAGGATTTAGGAAAAGTCAACATGCTCCTCTTGTGGCTTCAAGGTCCAGCTGTTGGTGAGCTCTCCCCTGAGTCATGCCCTCACCTCCCAACCCCACTGAGACCCATCCACCTTGGTGTCCCACAGGTGTGTCAAACGGCACATGCACAAGGCCAGACTACTCAGGTAATCAGGGACCACATGCTCCAGGGGCTCAGAAAGCTCTGCTCCCCCAAACACCTCCCTCAGCACACCAGGTTTTCTAAAACCATTCAGTCTGTCCATGCCCTCCACACCCTTCCACCTGCAGCTGGGCCACAATGATGGTGCTCACCTGGACTGCAGGGGCCTCTGAGCCAGCTTCCCACCAAGTCATTCTCCACCTGTGGCCAAAAGGAGCCTTCCAAAGCCACAGCTCTGCCACTGCTGTGAACTGAATATTTGGGTCTCCCCCTCCAAAATTTGCATGCTAAAGCCCTAACCTGAGGGGCCAGCAGGTGCTGTAGTGGTTAAGGCACTGATCTCCCACACGGCTAACTGTGGTTCGAGTCCTAAACCTGGAGGCTTGAAATTCATACCAGTTGTGCATGTATGTGTGCCCAAAGTCCTGAGAAGAGAATGGAGAAGGAATTGCAGTGTGGCCATCCCCCCTGGTGTGTGCTTTCTCACTCTCCCTTACTCCTAGCAAGCACAAGTGTACACTATAGCAAATTTTCTTTGAAAATTAAACTTCCAAAAATAAAATAGAAATGTCCATCATTTAGGCCATCCAGCCTTATGATACTCAGTTATAGTAGCCCGAGCTAAGGCACTCCAGAGCCCCACAGCCTGTGCAAGGCTCTCACCACCCAGCACCCACTCATCTCTCTGGCTTTGATGACCCCGCCACACAGCCCGAACTGGCACTGTTTCTGAATGCACCCAACTCTCCCAGCTTCTGCCTACTGTCTTCAGGTCCCTTCACCACACCCCTGCAACCTCCCTCCTTCCCCCGCTCCAGCTCTACCTTGTCAGCTGTCAGTCCAGCAGATAAGGCGCAGCACACGGCAGGACCTCGTTGGAGACTCACTGGCTGACCGTGGCACCTGCTGCCTGGCCCTGGCTAGCTGCTAAGACAAAGCGCACTGTCTGAGCGCAGCGGAGCTGCTGCCTGCAGGTAGACAGGTCTGCACGGCAAGGTGACGCTCCAGGAGACCCAGCCAGAGCAAAATGCCAGAGGGACAGCTCGTAACACACTTGCCGTCCAGCTTCTCCAACAGTACCCTGTCGTGAAGCATGGTTTACTTTTTGAATTTGCCAGAGGGCACATGCACTTCCCAGAGAGAAACAGAAAGTGAGGGAGCAACCCCCACCCCAAGGCATGATCACATCACAATCCCTTCTCCATCTCTCCCGCCTTTTGCGATTTGGGGCATGCATGCATACATACGCCTGGCATGTTTTTCAAGCCGTTGGATCTAGGACTTGAACTATACCATTAGCCATGTGGGACCTAGCAGCCTTAACCACCAGGCAAGGGACTGGCCTGTGAGACTGACTTTTAAGGTAACTTCAAATGATGATTTCTTGGGTGTTATTTTATTGAACTTTATTTATTTATTTTTAATCTGACCAGAGAGGGATAGAGTAAAGGGGGGAGAGAGAAAGAGAGGTGAGAAAGCAAGCCACACAGTTGGCTATGTAGGAGTCCAGCACCCTTAACCACCATGCCACCTGCCGTCCCTCAATAAAATATTTTTTTTTAAATGATGAGGTTTTTTTTTTGGGGGGGCAGGGAGAGGTTTTGCTATAAGGGCACATGTGCCCACCAGAAAGACAGAGATAGAAAGCAAGAAATTACCCCCCAAGGGGGATGGCCACAACGCCATCCCTTCCCCTCCAGTCTCCTCTCGGGATCTTAGGGGCACACACACACATATGCACCCAGCATGAGTTTAAGCCACCAGGTCCCAGACTAGAACTGCGGTCAACTACATGGGAGTCCAGTGACATAGCCATTACGCCATCTGATAGCCCCAACATGATGACTTCTCTTAAAGTGCAGGTCTGGGCCAGCAGTATCGCAGGGCTCTGGACCCTGGAGGCCTGACAGTGCTGCTAAAGAGGCAGCTCTTGTCTTCATTCTCTTTCCCACCTGCAATTGCTGGGTGAATCGGGCAGGCTGGATCCAAAAGATAAAAGGCAGTGGTGTGTTCCTACCTGTGTAGGGTCCTGAAAGGCAAACACTGTGGGCACGGCATTGTGCTTCAGGTTTTTGCGGTTTCCAAAGGCACTGAAGCACTCGGGTCTGAAGTGCTCGGAGCAGATAACCGTGTGCTGTTTGGGTTTGAAGTTGCCCCGGCCAATGTTCAGCACCCATTCCTTCAGCAGCTCCGGGCGGCTGAATGGGAACCTGAGGGCAACGGCAGGAGTTGTGAGGGATCTAGCAAAGCTGAATTCAGCACTCCAGAGTCCTGTGGAATTTTCACATCTCGTCAGAGTATTTTACAGACTACTTTGGAAATTCAGCAATCGAATTTTTTAATAATAACTTAATTTTATAATTTATTTATTACTATTGTTCAATTTGCATTAAGGCTCATGTGTTCACCAGAGAGAGACAGAGAGAAAAGGAAAGTGAGAAAGCAAGTCGCCAGGTCTGGGACTCGAACCATAGTTAGCCATATGGGAGTCCTGCGCCTAAACTACCATGCCACCTACAGACCCCATGGGCAATCTAATTTTATTAAATCACATCAAGGGTCAGCACTCAGTTGTATCAAACACCAGAAAGTTTGATTAAGATGGAGACATGTGGGCCAGTCCAGTGGCGTGGTGGTTAGGGCGGCTGGATTCCCACATGGCAGCCTAGGTGGTTTGAGTCCCAGACCCATCATGGGCCTGTGTCCCTGCCCAAAATCCCTAGAGAATGGAGGGGAAAGGATTGTGAGGTGGTCATCCCACCCCACCCGAACCCCCCATCCCGGAGTGGGTGACTTCTCACTTTCCCTCTCTCTATCTCTGTGTCTCTCCTGCGAGCGTACTCTGTCTCTGCGTCTCTCCTGCGAGCATACACAACCTATTCCAAAAATCTTGAGATTAAAAAAAAAAGAAGGAATGAACTACTGCTGCATGTGGCAAGGATGACTCACACATAACTGTGAGCAAAAGGCAGAAAAAAGTACACAGAGTGATTCCCGTGACGTCAAGTTCAAAGTAAGCCAAAGCAATCCACTCTGAGATGCCAAGGTTCCCCTGGGTAGGTGTGAGGAGGGCCTGGAAGGGGGTTGGGAGGTCTGGAGGCTGGAGATATTCTGGTTCGGCATCCACTCGTCGGCCGTGCACTTACGGTTTGTGCATTTTTCTGCGTGTACTTATTGAAAAGCAGAGAACACAGGAGAGGGGAGTGGACCATGAGCACGAGCCGCTCCCTGGAGTTGTACTCTAAAGCGGGCAGAAGTGGTGAGGAGGCTGACTCTGGGAGGACAGGGTGCAACTTTCACCACATTCCTGAGTCCCTGAAAATGCAATGGCAGAGCCACCATCCTCCCACCACCGCAAAGTTCCTGCCCCTGGAGGGGCTCATCGTTCACTCCACCAGCCTACCTCCAGCCAGCCCTTCACAAGCGCGGTGTGGGGGCTTGGCAGAGCGCCGGCTACACCGCACAGTCGCTCGTTCATCGGGCACCGACATCCTCCACACCTGTGTACGGGGGCTGCCCCGTGAGCCAGGACCTGCGGCGCAGCGGGGGCCGTACGCACCCAACGCGAAGGTCTTTCCAGAGAGAGCTCCAGATACGCAGCGCTAGGGCCACCCGAGGCCAATGACGGCTGTGCGACCCGGGCGGGCTGCTTAATCTTCCTGTGCGTCCCTCCGCGCTCAGCCCGAAGCGGCCCTGGCCTATACCCCGGGCCCCATGCCGCACGCCCTCGGGCCTCCCCAGTGCTCCCTCCCGGCTAGCAGAGCTCCGCCGGGGGCCGCAGCAAGTCAGCCTGCAGACCCGGCTCCCGGTCTCCAGCGCCCCAAAGCCACCTACTCTCACCGATGAAAGGTGAGCTGCTTCCTGCGGTTGCTGTAGCGGTTGCAACACTGCCGGGCCGCACACGACTTCGGCATCTCCAGAGCAGGCCTGCGAGGATGGGGGCGTGGGGGTGAACCTGGCTCAGTGCAAGGCGGACTCCTCACCCGGTCTGCAAAAATGTTGCCCCCGGGGCGCCAGGTCAAGGGCGTGCTTTCGGATCCGTTTCAGGTTGGAAACAACGCCTCAACTGTCTCACCCCATTTCGCTAAAGCCTATCACCCTTTAACTCCTGCTTTGGGGGCCCCAATACTCTGCCACTAACAGTCTTTGACAAGTGGAAAGCTGAGAAAGGTCCAAGCGGACCTGGCCAAGAATTTTAAGGTTTTGAGAGGTGTTATAGGCTCTGGCTCTCCTGCCGTCACTAGAGGAGGCTCTAATTGGTCACCGGAGGTCTCAAAGAAGAGGCCGGACAGCTGCGTGAAAGCAGGCTTGATACTGGGGACCAAGCCAAGAGGGGCAAAATGAGCACCAAAGATTAGATTCCGATCTGGGGCTCGCAGAATCTCAAGATTGCCGCTTCTACAAAACAGGCTAACCAATCAAAAGAGGTGTAAGCAAATCCACCATGGAAGAAACAAAGCTATTCATGTCTTCTCATACAGTAGTTTGTTTCTGAAGAACTCACTACAAGTGTATTAAGGGAGACATTTTTCAACCACTGAACACACTCAAGACTAACTTCCCCAAGTCACCACAGATCACGGTTTGGAGAGGTGAAGAGGGGACAATACAACTATCCCTCAGCACAGAATACAAATACCTGAAATTAGACATGAACCTCAAAGTAGCAATATATTTATTTACAAAATATACAGTTTCACAGAAACAGCTTCGCTTTATACACATAAACTTTAAAATTACACAGAACCATGTAAACGATGTTAAGTGTCTGGCCTGGCCAAAGCCAACAGGGAAAGGCCTAGTTTTGGGGGTAACATCTTTCCCTCTCACTTCATTAGCCACCAACCAGGAGCCCCTAGATGGGTCATGCCTAACTTGCATAAAGAAGCTCAATGAAGCTGCCCAGCTCAATCTAACGAAAACCATGGTGTCTGACTTCTTAGACACCACCCACAGGAATGAATCTACTAAAGGAACAAAAATGAGATCAAAGAAACAGAAATTGAGATGAATTATTGAAAGCATTCCAGAAGCTTCAGACCTTCTAAGCATGTTATCAGAGTTGGCAGTTCCATTCTAAAATCACACACATATTCTTAAATGCACTTTTAAAATCTTGTCTTAAAAAAAAGAAACAAAAACAAAACACTGCAACTTTGGTTATTCGCAGGTGAAGACACTGGACAGGCATTGTCACGGGGCAGATCTTTGGCAAATTCTTCTCCAACTTGTCCTGGATGTTTTGCCCTCATCAGAGCCAGACAACTGTCTGGGAGAAGGTTGTTTCTAAACCAGCTTATATTTTTCTCTCTAGTAGAACTTTTTCCTTGGGGATCTTCAGGATAAACTAGGTTCCAGAAACAATTTCTCTCTTCTTTTGTGTTAATAAAAGCAACAGAATTAAAAAAATAAAAAAAAATCAGTTGGCTGGACAAATTTGAGTTACTAGACAAGAAAAAAAAATGAAGAAAGAAAAAAAATGGCTCTAATTAGCTAAATTACAGTTAAACAACCCCCTTAGTGTTTCAGTCACAGACCACAGAAGGAGTCTACCTGGTGGCCCCACACAACAGTGCCACGTGGAGGGGGAGCTGCAAACAGGGAGAGGGAGGACCCAGCCTGCTGCAGATATTAATAAATATGACCGGCTTGGGCATTCTTCCATTTTTATGCCTTACAAGAAACAAACCCATCAATTTACAAAAGTACTTATTCTCGAAAACAAGTACTTGAACTGCTAAGAGCAATGTTAAGTGCTGGAGAAAGGCAAAGACCTCCTCTCACTCCAAGCCCTAGAACCACCAGTGTCCTGGGCTACACTGCTCTCAAGCTCAGTTCTGCAGGTGCTTCAGCCACAACTCCCTTTGCTCTGGAGCTGGGCCTCACAAGGGCCTCTGCAGTCTGGAATCCTGCTTCAGATCTAAGGAACTCTGTACAGGTCAGTGGTACATTCCTGACAGCCAGCACTGCTTTATGACTCACTCACCAATGCAAATCAAAAGGAGAATTCAAGTCCTAACCTTGCCCTGAGGAACCTGCAGGCCAGCCTGTATAAAGGGCATATTAAGAATCAACCAGGGGAGAGGCCTCCCTCCCAATTTTTCTTTATTTCCATTATTTAAAGGAACACCACTGGTGTCCAGTGATTGCCTATCTTTATGTCGCTTGAAGTATGACGAGAAGAGAAACCGAGAACTCCCACACTTGAAAACAGCTTACCTGCGCCCCACCAGGACCTCCCATACCACCTGGAAAGAAAGGGCACCCAGTAAGAAATTGGCCAATACTTTTGGCTGTATCGTGCAAAAAGACAGGTTTTTTACATCGTGCAAAACAGGAAACTGAGTTATGAACACAGGCCACCTCAACCCCCCAACCAACCCCCTTTCCAAAGAGAAGCGGCCACATATTGTCCCTTTTTAACAAACAGAAGGAAATCTAAGGGTCACTAGTTAGCCCACCCCTCCCCTGCAGGGCTCCTCTCAGAGCCCAGAGGACTCAGCCAGCAGCTGAGCAGGTGGAGAGGAAGGGCCACTAAGGTAGGGGCAACTTTGACGGTTGCTGTACACTTACGGTAAAGACTGACACGTGAGAGAAAGCTTACACGCGTATGGCTGCTCATTAACAGGCCAGGAACCCAAACGGCTCCCCTCCCCAACACATGGAAGCAGGAACAGCAGCGAGCACTGGTTCCAACTGACAGGAATTTGTTACCAATGATAGAAAACACACAATGACTGTGTACCCTCATTTTCAGCGGAACCAAACCCACTGTACTTGGGTGTCCAGTTCATTTCCACTGCAGAGAACACAGCTCCTGCAGCAGCTTTGGCCAACCAAGACTGTACTCCTTCGGGCCCTGGCTATGTACAGTTTCTACCTTGGACAGCCTGTCCTTTTGCTTAGGCACCTGAATGGCAGGGATCTGCCCGCACCAGAGCTGAGTTCTGTGCTCAACTGAAAGAGGGGCCAGAAGGCCCACCGTCCCTTCTGATTCCTCTCCCACAGTCCCTTCTCCAGCCACAGTCAGTCCAGAAACAGCTTCCGGGAGCCCATTCGAGAACGGTTGGAACGGCGGATGTCAAACTTGGAGTCCCGGCACTTTTGGCAGACAAACACTTCCGGAACATTGGATTTCCGGATTTTTGCACAGGACAAGTGAATCCAGGTGTGGCACTCATTACACTCGATCATGGGGCGGCCGGCAAATGGCTTCATGCAGAAGCAGGTGACGAGGTCCCAAGAATCGTCATCTGAAAAGAAAGAGCACGTTGAGAGAGGAAAAACAATTCCCACAGGCCCTCTCCACCTGGGTCTCAGGCCAAGCTGCCGAGTTTTGATAAAACTCATTATTCAACTAACAAAAATCATTTCAACAGTCCTTTAATATTGACACTTCTTTCTGAAAATGCAATAAATGCACAACACAGGGCACTGAAAAGTGGCAACCAGGTATCCTGAGTTGTCTACCTGTGAGCCTCATTCTTTTTATATTAAGGTTTCTCCTGGAATCTCAGCTGTTTCTAATGGTCATCGAATCTTTCCTAAAATCTCTGTACCCACTCCCTGCACTGTTCTCTGCTCTGGAGATGGCAGAGCATACCCGTTGGCATGCTCCAAGGACAGGGCAGGACCCTAAACCCAAAGGCATGACTATTTAAAATAACCACCAGCCAGGACCAGTAGATGGTGTAATGGTTACATCACTGGACTCCCATGTAAGTCAACTGTTGTTTGAGTCCTCAAACTCACACCAGGGTAAGTAAGTATGTGTGCCCAAGATACCAAGAGAAGGGATTGTGACATGGCCATTCACCCTGGGGAGTGTTATTTCTTGCTTTGTGTCTGTGTCTGTCTCTCTGGCGAGCACACATGCCCTATAACAAAAATCTCTTTAGGGGCTGGAAAATGGCATGGTGGATAAGGCGCTGGACTCCCACATGGCCAACTGTGGTTTGAGCTCCTTTAAAAAAAAAAAAAAGAATTATTTTACTTAACTCTATTTATTTTAATTTGACCAGCGAAGGGGAGAAAGCAAGCCGCCAGGTCCAGGACTCGAACTGCAGCTGGCCATGTGGGAGTCCAGTGCCCTTAACCACCACGCCACCTCCTGCTGGTTCCATAAAATAAAAATAATTCTTTTTTTTTTTAAAGAATTATTTTAACTTTATTTATAATTTTCCAATTTGACCAGAGAGAGCGAGCGAGCGAGAAAGGAAGCCACCAGGACCGAGACTTGAACCACAGTTGCCCATGTGGGAGTCCAGTGCCTTTAATCACCATGCCACCTGCCAGCCCAAATAAAAATAATTCTTTTTTTTTTTCTTTAAGTAGCTCAAACCACAGTTGGCCATGTGGGAGTCCAGCGCCCTTAACCACCACGCCACCTCCTGCTGGTTCCATAAAATAAAAATAATTCTTTTTTTTTTTCTTTAAGTAGCTCAAACCACAGTTGGCCATGTGGGAGTCCAGCGCCCTTAACCACCACGCCACCTCCTGCTGGTTCCATAAAATAAAAATAATTCTTTTTTTTTTTCTTTAAGTAGCTCAAACCACAGTTGGCCATGTGGGAGTCCAGCGCCCTTAACCACCACGCCACCTCCTGCTGGTTCCATAAAATAAAAATAATTCTTTTTTTTTTTCTTTAAGTAGCTCAAACCACAGTTGGCCATGTGGGAGTCCAGCGCCCTTAACCACCACGCCACCTCCTGCTGGTTCCATAAAATAAAAATAATTCTTTTTTTTTTTCTTTAAGTAGCTCAAACCACAGTTGGCCATGTGGGAGTCCAGCGCCCTTAACCACCACGCCACCTCCTGCTGGTTCCATAAAATAAAAATAATTCTTTTTTTTTTTCTTTAAGTAGCTCAAACCACAGTTGGCCATGTGGGAGTCCAGCGCCCTTAACCACCACGCCACCTCCTGCTGGTTCCATAAAATAAAAATAATTCTTTTTTTTTTTCTTTAAGTAGCTCAAACCACAGTTGGCCATGTGGGAGTCCAGCGCCCTTAACCACCACGCCACCTCCTGCTGGTTCCATAAAATAAAAATAATTCTTTTTTTTTTTCTTTAAGTAGCTCAAACCACAGTTGGCCATGTGGGAGTCCAGTGCCTTTAATCACCATGCCACCTGCCAGCCCAAATAAAAATAATTCTTAAAAAAGAAAAATACTCTTTAAAAAAATCATCACCAGCCAACAAGCACCTCCGTCCCTCAGGGACCACTCACCTGAATCTACCATTATGTCCTCATCATTGCCAGTGCTGTCCTCGTCTCGGAACACCACCTGCTTTCCCTGCCGGACGATAGTCCGTTTGCCTTCAGTCTTTATTTCTTTGACCTGATCAGGTGACACAGTGGCACAAGACCCACTGGAGGGAGTGTCAGAGTCCCAGCCCGAGCAGGGGTCGCTGGGAGCCTGAGGGATATCCTGCAGGGTGGGGCTCGTGGGGGTCTCTACGTATGGATCAGCAGCTTCCAGCTTCAGCAAGCCCCCTCTGAACCCCTCCTTCGTGGGCACATCACTGTCCCTCCGCTTCCTCTTCTTCTTCTTCTTCAGCTTGTCCGTTTTCTTTCTGTCCAGCAGGAAGTTACTGGGCTTGGCTCGCTGCAAGAGGGTGGGCTGCAGGTGGCTAAAGCAGCGGTCAGAGACTGGCAAGGGCACTGAGGACGCCATGTCAGTGAAACCAGCGTCCCAGCCGTCACTGTCAATGGTACCAGCAGTGCTGTTGGCAGGGCTGGGACTGCTCCTCAAAGGAAGTTCCTGAAAGGACAGGCGAAAAGGTTCTAGTCACTTTGACCAGCTCCCCCATGACAAGACTCAGCCTCCCAAGGACCTTCACCAGCCCACCTTTGGCTAGCTCAGCCTCCCAGAGCATAGCTTTGAGCTTGTCAGCCTTCATCTGCATTAAACACTAGAATAGCATCAGCAGTTACTTACTGTGACACAAGGAGAAACCACCCTCCCTTGTTAAGCCCTCAGTCTGTCCTGAGGCCAGGAAATTAATTGATGCTCAATAAATACCTACAGAAAGGAATGCTGCATATACCCTCTCACCTCTTACTTTTTTACTGATTGTAAAAGTCTCTCCTTCTACTTGTCCTCCCAAGAGATACATATTTTTTAATTAAGTGAACTTAAATTAGTTTTGAGAATATCTTTACACTTTTTTTTTTTAATCGCAAATCCAAAGTAGGTAATTACTGCCCCAAAGCAGTAGTTCCTTCAGATCATTCAAGCATAATGTTTGCAAATAATGGCAACATTCTGCTGGGTTCAAGCTAGCATTACCCACCTATACAGGAGGTGGAGATCAACCAATGTTGGAGCCTCCTTTTTTATTTTTAAAGAATTATTTTACTGGGAACCAGCAGTTAGCGTAATGGCTATGTTGCTGGATTCCCACATAGTTGACCGTGGTTCGCGTGCCGGAACCGGTGGCTTGGAACTCACGCCGGGGGCGTGTGCGTGCGTGCCCAAGATCCCGAAAGGAGAATGGAGGAGAAGGGACTGCAGCATGACCATCGCCCCTGGAGGGTGATTTCTCGCTTTCTATGTCTCTTTCTGTCTGTCTGTCTGGCGAGTGCATGCGCCCTATAGCGAAAACCTCTCCAAAAAATATAAAATAATAAATAAAATTTAAAAAAGAATTATTTAACTTCATTTATTCATTCATTTATTTCATTTTTAAAATTTGACCAGAGAGGGACAGAGCGAGAGAGAAAGAGAGGGAAGGTGAGAGACCAAGTTTCCAGTTCCAGGACTTGAA